CTAACTTTGCGAGAGCATAATTCCGTAAGTTTTCTATCAAATTTCAAACTTTTGGTGTCTTTATGATCGGGAAAAGATTCTCTATCTTTTCACAAGAGAAAATAATTTTTTTTTTTTTAAATTTGGCCGACCCTGAGAACGAGTTTCGGAGAGGGCCTGTCGACCCTCAAAGAGTTAAGGGGTGCCTCCGGCAATTCTGAGCTCAGAGACCAAAAAAATCGAAAAAATATGAAAAATGAGTTAATCTTACCGAAAAATAGAGCAAACATCTGGCAACATTTTGGTGTGCGTCTCGTGTCTGTACGATAATTAGATAAAAAGTTATCGTAATTATAAGAAAGATAACTACGTCATCACAGCGTGGCAACTCATGTCAAAACAACAACACGTGGACCAGCGCGTTCACGTCAACAATACCCCACACGTATTTTTTCCTTTTTTTTTTGGTGTATTTTTGAGCTAGTTCTAGTAAGTAGTAATTGGCAACCATCAGTGTAGCTGTGAGAAGGAGCTGCTGGTACTGGAGACAGTCAGTGCCGACGAGAAGTCTGAAGAAGGTGGAAGTACGTCGCTTCGTCTGACAGCTGTCACCCTTGGACCATCACTTTTTGCCTTTCATTGTATACTTTTTTTGTACACGATGCCTAGAAGGACTAAACATTATACCACGAAGCTTAGCAAGACGAAGAAAAAGCAGATGCAAGCAATGAGAAGGGCTAGAAAAATAGAAAAAGAGGCAGCTGCTTTGGGTGGTGACGCCATACCATCACCACCTCAGTCTTCTCAAGAGTTACTGCCACCACCCTCCTCTCAAGACGAATCCTTGTTCACTGCTGGTGAATTATTGGATATTTCAGGTTCAAAACGAGGGAAAACAAAGGATAAGAGCACAGCAAATGTGCCCAGTACCTCCATGGCCACCGTGGCCACCGTGGTCACCTTGACAGCTTCTACTATCACGACTTCTACCTCCATGGCCACCTCCATGGCCACCATGACGACTACTACCTCTACAGCCACTACCTCCACGGCCAGTCCACATGTGGCCACCCCACGTTCACGAGGTCGACCTGTGGCCACACGACGTCCAGTTGGCCGACCCAAAGGATCGAAGACCAAAAGAGGTGTCACATCTGTGGCCAGCACCTCCATGGCCACATCTGTGGCCAGCACCTCCATGGCCACATCTGTGGCCCAGCACCTCCATGGCCACATCTGTGGCCAGCACCTCCATGGCCACATCTGTGGCCAGCACCTCCATGGCCACATCTGTGGCCAGCACCTCCATGGCCACATCTGTGGCCAGCATCTCCATGGCCAGCACCTCCATGGCCACATCTGTGGCCAGCACCTCCACTGCCACCCCAGATGTGGCCAACAGCTCCATGGCCACCACTGATATTGATAATAGTGTTGAACGTGACAGTGACAGTTGTGTTGCGAGTGACATTCCAGTGTCAACACCTGCACCTGCTCGGGTGTCAAGTGCCAAAAAGAGAGTGTCATTATTTAATACTATAGATCCTAGTAGCACTGACAATAGAATGATAATTCTTGATCCTAGAAAATTACATGATGAGATCTTCTCGCAAGTATTTTGCCCTGAGTGTTGCGGTGGAAAAATGAAGACTTTATATTATGAACATCATCTAGAGGGCAGTGTTGTTCTAGAGTGTACTGTGTGTCACCATAACTTGGGGGAAAAACCGAAGAAGTATAAAACAATGAATGTTGCAACTGGTAGGATGGTGTATGGGGAACTGTTAGCAGGTCGTGGATACTATTCATTTATTCGTAGAAATGCAGTGTGTAGTTTGCCACGTATCAGTCTGGAGACATACAATAAATATGCGTCTATGATAACAAAAAAATCTATTGAGTCATGTAAGAAAATACTTGCCGAATCTAAGGACATTATTGTTAAAGAATATGGCAAACTGAACATTGTACCAGATGACGCAAAAATTCTTGACATTGATGTAACATATGACGGAACATGGCACACAAGGGGACATCACTCAAATATAGGCATTGGTGTAGCTATAGATGCCTTGACAAAATTAGTGGTTGATTATCAAGTTTTCAGTAAGTACTGTAATATGTGTATCTTTATGGAAAATTCTTGGAAAAAAAAGAAAGTAACTAATGAGAAATATGAAGAATTTCGCAAAAGACACGAGCTTGAATGCAACATAAACTATACAGGAACCTCTGCAAAGATGGAAAGTGAAGCAGCGGTAATGATGTGGCAGCGATCACTTGAAAATAATTTGAGATACAAATCAATTGTGAGTGATGGTGATAGCAACACGTATAAAGCCATTGTTGACGTCAACGATGGTGAAGGTCCTTATCCAGGTGTACATGTTGAAAAAGAGGAATGTATCAATCACTATGCTAAACGTCTAAAGACCAGACTAACAAATTTGATCAAGTCACAATATGTTGAAAAAGAATTGAGAACTGGGAAGAAGAGGAAGGAGTTTGCAATGAAGAAAAGGGGCATGTTGACCGACGTTATAATCGATAAGTTGGCATACTACTTCAAGAAGAACCTGCGAGAGAAGATCAATCATGATGTTGAAGATATGAGGAATTGTATCCTTTCAAGCTTCTTTCATTGTTCCTCAAGTGATGAAAAACCACAGCATCACCTTTGCCCAACAGGTGATAATTCCTGGTGTTTCTACCAGAAAGCAATAGCAGCAAACCTTCCTCCACCGTCTCACACCACAATGAAAGTACAGTTCAGCCTGGAACCTAGATACTTTGAGGAAGTGCATAATGTTTACAAAGACCTAACAACAGATGAAATGATGCAGCGTTGTGTAAAAGGTAGAACGCAAAACCCTAATGAAAGTCTACATCAACGCATATGGTCTTACTGCAGTAAAGCCCTATTTCGAACAAAAAGGCAAGCTGATTTCGCAGTCAGCCATGCTGTGGCAGAATACAATAGTGGGTATGTGAGGAGCTGCCTAGACATACCACTTGGCTACGGACGTTCAAAAGTGACTCAAAAACACCTTGAAAATATGGACAAGAACATGCAGAAAATACGACCCAGAAAAAGCAAGAAGAGGAAAAGGAGACAGGACACGTCCTATGAACCTGGTGGACATTAGATGATAATGTGTCCACCTACACCTGGTCAAAGGTATGTAATTCTTGTGTTTTTTTGGTGTATTTTTATGTATATAAATATCATATGTGTGCAATTACAGCATCTGCGTACATAATCACTGGGAATGGGATTTTGAACATTCTTTCTTTCTTTTCAGTTTGATTGGGATGGATTGTCATGACTGGGCCGACCTCAGAGAACTTCAGGATGAAGGGAACTTCATGGAACTTCAGGATGAAGGGATCTTCATGGAACTTCAGGATGAAGGGATCTTCATGGAACTTCAGGATGAAGGGATCTTCATGGAACTTCAGGAATATTGTCTGTACAACCAGTTCTACTCAATAAATGTATAAAGGCACTATGAGTATTTTTACCCACTCTATAATAATGTTCAGGAGAGAAATCACTTTATTATTACGCTTATATCAGCTTATATATCAACTCTACGGCTTATTTATCTATCAGAATTGATCTAATATGATATAATAAACACTCTAAATAACATACAAACATGTTATATACTCTAGACTGAAAAAAATAGACCATAATATGGCGAAAGATTATCGGAAATTTTCGATAAATATTGAGTTACTGCTCTCCATGTCGTCTCCGTGTCGTATTCTTTGGTCTCTGAGTAAGAGAAAACGGTGTTTTGAAGAGGATAACTGCACTAGAACATCAGTTTACTAAGAAATACACCCAAACAAACGCGATTTTCGCGAAAAAAAACAATTTTTTTTTTGAGACGGTGGGCCGGCCGGCGTTCTAGGCCTATATCTCGGAAGTAACTTATTCCTCTACAGTAACTATTTCTGCATTTATTACTTAATTAAATGGAATAATATTCACAGAAATTGTAGAATAATGGTTTCTCTAATTTTGTTAAAGGTAATTTTGGAAATATTCAAATACTTTCGGAGTTATGTGGGAGTAAAGGGCAGATTTTTTGCAGTATTCCAGGAACTAAAAAAAAATTTTTTTTTTTATATATAAAGATACGTTATTTAGAGAAAAGGCGTTGCCTAAAATTAGTTTAAGCATTGCTCTCTCGGCACCAAGTGTCCAAACAACCTTACGATGTCCCATATAGGAATGATTTTTGAGACAAGGACATTTTTCAGAAAATCAGTCTTTTTCAGTCTTTTCTCAGTTGTCGTTTGAGGTATATTTTTGATAAATATTTTCAAGAATGAGTGAAAACACTTTGTCTTGTGCACCAAAACTGGAGGAAATCGGACGGTAAACAAAAAAGCTACATTTGGTTTGGAATATTGGCGGTTTGGAGAGATATGCTGTATATCTTTATATGTATATGCTTCTAAACCATTGTATTCTGAGCACCTCTGCAAAAACAGTGATTATGTGTGAGTGAGGCAAAAGTGTTGAATGATGGTGAGAGTATTTTTTTTTTGGGGGGGGGGGGGGATTTTCTTTCTTTTTTGGGTCACCCAGCCTTGGTGGGAGATGGCCGACTTGTTGAAAAAAAATAATTTTTTTGTGAATATTTTTGGGTTTCTGGAACGGATTAATTGTATTTCCATTATTTGTCATGGGAAATATTGCTTCACTTTTCAAATTTAGAACTAGCTCCTGGAACAGATTAAGTTCGAATTTGAGGTTCCACTGTATTTAGGTTTGCAAAATTGGTCGGAAAGCTGGTCATGTCAAGCGGTCATTAAACAAGTAGGTTGTTCAGTGAGGAGTGACTGTATAATTTTCTCTTATAAGATAGGTAGAATATGGAAAAATAAGTTTTGTTGCATAAAGCAGTAAGCTAGTAATGGCAATGAGCAAAAGCAAACTGCAAGATGCATAACACAATAAATAATTTTCACTGTGATTAAAAAAAAAAAGACAAAGTTGCATTACAAACCTAGTGTTGTTAGTGCCACAGATATTAGCTGAATGTTGTCAGAGAAAGGTATCTGAGGTATGCTCTGAATAAACCGTGGCACGTAGAAGTTGTCTGTCTCAGCAACAGTTTCTGCCACTGAAGAATATGCATGTAGAACAGCTTCTAAATATCGCCAATCACTGGGATCATTCTGCATTTTTACTACAGCATCTTTAAGATGAACTTCTAAGTGGCTTAACATGTCTCCTCTTAATACATAATAGGCATACATCTGCAATCAAGAATAAACAATGAGTAATCATTAACTAAATAAAGTCAATCATATAGCTAACAGCTCTCACCGTTGCCTTAACATACACTGTAGTCATGGGGTATTTTTTTTTTTATTATCTCACTGGCCGATTCCCACCAAGGCAGGGTGGCCCGAAAAAGAAAAACTTTCACCATCATTCACTCCATCACTGTCTTGCCAGAAGGGTGCTTTACACTACAGTTTTTAAACTGCAACATTAACACCCCTCCTTCAGAGTGCAGGCACTGTACTTCCCATCTCCAGGACTCAAGTCCAGCCTGCCGGTTTCCCTGAACCCCTTCATAAATGTTACTTTGCTCAAACTCCAACAGCACGTCTAGTATTAAAAACCATTTGTCTCCATTCACTCCTATCAAACACGCTCACGCATGCCTGCTGGAAATCCAAGCCCCTCGCACACAAAACCTCCTTTACCCCCCCTCTCCAACCTTTCCTAGGCCGACCCTACCCCCCCTTTCCCTTTCCCACTACAGACTGATACACTCTTGAAGTCATTCTCTTTCGCTCCATTCTCTCTACATGTCCGAACCACCTCAACAACCCTTCCTCAGCCCTCTGGACAACAGTTTTGGTAATCCCGCACCTCCTCCTAACTTCCAAACTACGAATTCTCTGCATTATATTCACACCACACATTGCCCTCAGACATGACATCTCCACTGCCTCCAGCCTTCTCCTCGCTGCAACATTCATCACCCATGCTTCACACCCACATAAGAGCGTTGGTTAAAACTATACTCTCATACATTCCCCTCTTTGCCTCCAAGGACAAAGTTCTTTGTCTCCACAGACTCCTAAGTGCACCACTCACTCTTTTCCCCTCATCAATTCTATGATTCATCTCATCTTTCATAGACCAATCCGCTGACACGTCCACTCCCAAATATCTGAATACATTCACCTCTCCATACTCTCTCCCTCCAATCTGATATTCAATCTTTCATCACTTAATCTTTTTGTTATCCTCATAACCTTACTCTTTCCTGTATTCACTTTAATTTTCTTCTTTTGCACACCCTACCAAATTCATCCACCAACCTCTGCAACTTCTCTTCAGAATCTCCCAAGAGCACAGTGTCATCAGCAAAGAGCAACTGTGACAACTCCCACTTTATGTGTGATTCTTTATCTTTTAACTCCACGCCTCTTGCCAAGACCCTCGCATTTACTTCTCTTACAACCCCATCTATAAATATATTAAACAACCACGGTGACATCACACATCTTTGTCTAAGGCCTACTTTTACTGGGAAATAATTTCCCTCTTTCCTACATACTCTAACTTGAGCCTCACTATCCTCGTAAAAACTCTTCACTGCTTTCAGTAACCTACCTCCTACACCATACACCTGCAACATCTGCCACATTGCAGATGTTGCAGGTATGATAAAAATGGTGGGGTATGATAAAAAAAAAATCCTGAATAGGATATATTTTTCAAAAACTATTGGTTTTAAAAAGAAAATAAATTATTTATGCATAAGCTTGATATCTCATGGCTCTTCCTTAAGAGATGAAAGTGTGAAGTTACTGTTGCAACATGTTGCACATTTTATACTGAGAACCTGGTGCATCTTGAGTATTTCCCCAAGGCCACACAGACAATCAGTTTCAATATGGCTATTTTACCATACACAAGAAAACCATTTCGAGAAAGCCTTGTGGAATAAATTCATTGTGGCCCAGTCCCTCATCATAAATTGCACTTACCCTACAGTGATGAGTGCACTTTCCATCAACTATGCAGCACTTGAAAGTGTTGATATAAAATTCTTTGAGAGGCAAAGTCATGATGAAATCTCAGGATAAAATGATTCAAGTACTGTATTATAAATCACACAAAAGACTCACATAAGTATCACAGATGTCTTGCCGGTAACAACGAAACATTTCCTTCTCTTCTGATGTTAGTGCATTATCAGGCGGCAACAAAGATTTTTGTATAAAAGTATCCACCAATTTCAGGTACACTGGTTGGAAAAGCGTTAGCAACTCAGCCTGCTGCTCTCCCTCAAAGGTCATAATATCATCCTGAAAAACATGACATTATTAACATGATCAATAATACAATGCAGATTTTCTTTTAACAAATAGGCTGTATCCTACCAAGCAGGGTGACCCAAAAAGAAAAACAAAAGTCTTTCTTTTTTACAGTTGCTCCCAGCATTATATAGTCGCCTCTTATGACACATACGGCTTACGGAGGAAGAATTCTTTTCCACTTCTCCATGAAGATCAGAGGAAATAAAGAAAAACAAGAACTATTAACAAAATTGAAGAAAACCCAGATGGGTGTGTAAATATATATATGAATGTACAAGCATGTAGTAGGTTGGTAGACAGCAACCACCCAGGGAGATACTACCGTTCTGCCAAGTGAATGTAAAACAAAAGCCTGAATTGTTTTACATGATGGTAGGATTGCTGGTGTCTTTTGTCTGTCTCATAAATATGCAAGATTACAGGTATGTCTTGCTACTTCTACTTACACTTAGGTCACACTACACATACATGTACACGTTTATTTATACACACTCATCTGAGTTTTCTTTGATTTTATCTTAATAGTTCTTGGTCTTATTACTTTTCCTTTTATATCCATGGGGAAGTGGAATAAGAATCTTTCCTCCGTAAGCCATGCGTGTTGTTAAAGTCAACTAAAAAACCGGGAACAATGGGCTAGTAACCCCTTTTCCTGTAAAGATTACTAAAAAGAATAAGAAGAAGAAAATTGTCAAAGTGCGAAGTCTGAATGTGCATGGATGTTGTGCAAATGATAAGAAAGAGATGATTGTGGATGTTATGAATGAGAAGAAGCTGGATGTCCTGGCTTTAAGTGAAACAAAGCTGAAGGGGGTGGGAGAGTTTCAAAGGAGAGGAATAAATGGGATAGGTCAGGGGTTTCAAATAGAGTTAGAGCTAAAGAAGGATAGCAATAATGTTGAAGGATAAGCTATGGCAGGAAAAGAGGGACTATAAATGTATTAATTTCAAGGATTATGTGGAGTAAAATAAAAAATTAGATGTGAAAAGTGGTTATAGTAAGCGTGTATGCACCTGGAGAAGAAAGAAGTGTAGAGGAGAGAGAGAGATTTTGGGAAATGTTGAGTGAATGCATGGGGAGTTTTGAATCAAGTGTGAGAGTAATGGTGGTTGGGGATTTCAATGCTAAAGTGGGTAAAAATGTTATGGAGGGAGTAGTAGGTAAATTTGGGGTGCCAGGGGTAAATGTAAATGGGGAGCCTTTAACTGAGCTATGTGTAAAAAGAGATTTGGTAATAAGTAATACATATTTTATGAAAAAGAGGATAAATAAATATACAAGGTATGATGTACACGTAATGAAAGTAGTTTGTTAGATTATGTATTGGTGGATAAAAGGTTGATGGGTTAGGCTCCAGGATGTACATGTTTATAGAGGGGCAACTGATATATCGGATCATTATTTAGTTGTAGCTACAGTTTAGAGTAAGAGGTAGATGGGAAAAAAAAAGGGTGGCAAAAAACAAGTAAGAGGGGGGTTAAAAGGTATAAAAAGGGGAAAGGGGAAGTTGGGGGGAGATATAAGGGGACTTTTGGGGCAGAAAGGTGGGTTTAGTGAAAAATTTAAATTTTGGGGGGGGGTTTTAAAGGGGTTGGAAATTTTTTTTTTAAAAATGCAGTATTAAAATTTGGGGGGAGAATTTTGTGGAAAAAGGGAGGGGGGGGCGGGTTTGGAAAGGGAGTGATTGGGGGAATGTTGAAGTAAGGGTGTGATAAAAGAAAAAAAGTTAGCTTATGAAAGGTTTTTACAAAGCAGAGGTGAAAATAAGAAGGGAGAGTAAAATGGAGAGTAAAAAAAAGGGGTGAAGAAGTGGTGAAGAGTGAAAAAGGGAAAAGAGTGGTTATAGGGGGGAAAGAGGCACTTTTAAAAATTTTAAATAAAAAATAAAAAAAAAAATTTTGGAGTGGGTTAAAAAAGGTTAAAAAAAAACCTGGGGAAAAAGTAGGATTTGCCCAGTTAAAAACAAAAGTAGGGGAGTTAGTGATGGGGAGAGGGAAAGGTATTGGGTAGAGGGCCCGAAAAATATTTTGGGGAAATTTTTAAAATGTTGAGGAAAAAGGGGAGGCTTTAATTTTTCGCACTGGTCATGAGGTATACCTCTTTTAGGAGTAAAGAGCAGAAATGTAAGTGTGGGGAGGTACGCGGGGCATTACGTAGAATGAAAGGGGGAAAAGGCGGGAAAATGATGGGATCATGACAGAAATTTTAAAAGCAAGGGGGGATTATTTGTTGGGTGGTTGGTATTTTGGGTTTAAAAAATGTTTTAAAGGGGGGGAAGGTCCCTGGGGGATTGGGGGGAAGAGCTTGTATAGTCCCTTTTTTTAAAAAAGGGAAAAGGGGAAACAAAAGAGATTGAAAAAAATTTTTTTAGGGGAAATAAGTTTATTGAGATCCCAAAAAAGTGAAAGTTTTGGGTTATAAATGAAAAAATTTAGAGGTAAGACGAATGTAGGATTGGGGAAAGACAAGGGGGTTCAGAGTGGGTAGGGGTTGTGTAGATCAAGTGTTTACATTAAAGGGCATAAAGGGTAACAGAATTTAGATAAAGGTGGGGAAAATTTATATTGTTTTTGGGGGAAATTTAAAAAAGGCATAGATAGAGTGGATAGGGGGGGCAATGGGGCAGATTTTGCAATTATATGGAATAGGGGGTTAAGTTACAAAATTTGGTGTAAAAGTTTTTATGGGGGAAATGAGGCTCAGGTTAGGGTTTGTTAAAGGGAGAGGGGGGAAAAATTCCCCCGGTTTTAAAAAGTATTTTTTTGGGACGGGGGATTGTAATTCACCATGGTTGTTTAATATATTTATAGATGGATTTTGAAAAAAGAATTAAATGCAGGGTGTTCGGGAGACGGGGGGGGTTTAAATTATGGGGAACAAATTCAAAAGGGGAATTAACACGTTACTTTTTGCTGATGATACTTTTGTTTAGGGGAGTTTCTAAAAAAAAAAAATTGCAAAGGTTATTGGATTTTTTGGGAAATGGGGGAAATTTAGAAAGTTAAAAAAGTGAACATAAAAAGAGTAAGGGAGGGGGTATCAAATAATTAGAATAAAGAAAAAATTGGATATCAAATTGGGGAGGAGGAGAAAGGAAAAAATTTAATTTTTTTCAGATACTTGGGAGTTGACGTGTCGGCCCGGGTGGATTTATGAAGGATGAGGTTAACCCCTAGAAGAGAGGGAAAAAAAGGGGAGTTGGGGCATTGAGGTATATGTAGTCAAGAAACGTTATCAAAGGAGGCAAAGAAAGGGGAAGGGGATGAAAGTATAGTAAATACCAACACTCTTAAATGGTTGAAGCTTGGGGGGTTTAAAAGCAGCTGCGGGAAAACGGGTTTGGGGGCATTTGGGGATGTCCTGTTTAAGGGGAATGTGTGGTTTTAAAAAATTTGCAGCAATTCGGAAATGTGGGGAAATTTGGGAAAAAGGGGTGGGGAGTTAAAAAAAAGGATTAGTCAGAGGGCAGAAGAGGGGTTGTTGAGGGGGTTTGGTCATTTAGAGAGAAAGGGGTCAAAAATGAATGACATGGGAAAGCATATAAATCTATGGGGGAAAAAGGGGGGTAGGGGCCCTCCCCAAAAGGGGGGGGAGAGGGGGGTTTAAAGGGGGTTTTGGGCCGGGGCTTGGACTTCCCCCAAGCTTTCGTGAGCGTGTTAGGGTAGGAGTGAATGGAGGGGAATGGTACTTGGTACCTGACGATCTGTTTGGGTGGGGAGCAGGGGAATTTTAGTGAAGGGGATTCAGGAAACCGGGTTTTTTTCATATTGTCGGCTTGAGTCCTGGAAATGGGGGAAATTACAATGCCTGGGAAATTTAAAGGGGGGGTTTGGGATTTTTGGCAGTTTTGGGGGGGGAAAAAGTTGTGTATCTTTATATGTTTTAATGCTTCTAAACTTTTTTGTATTCTGACACCCTGCAAAAAAAAGGTTTATTTGTTTGAGTGGGTTTAAAGGTTTTTTTTTTTTTTTTTTTTGAATGATGATGGAAAACCTTTTTTTTTTTGGGGGTTTTTTTTCTTTTTTTTTTGGGGCACCCGCCTCGGTGGGAGACGGCCGACCGTTGGGGAAAAAAAAAAAAAAAAAAAATGCATTGGGGTAACAGAAATAGCAAGAACGTGGGGCCCCCCTTTTACAGTTTTTCACATTACGGCGTTCCCCCTTATAGGACATTTCAAATTTGAACAAAAATCGGTATATGGCTTCCCCCCCCTGACTTTTTAATAGGGTCCCCCCCCACCCCACCCAGTTGTTTACATTTTCCTGGGGCTCCCTAAGCACCATGGGCTTTTTATTTGTCTGGAAATCCCAAAAATTTAGGTGTTTTTTTTAAAATTTCATATTTTTTTCTTTTTTAAAAAGTCGGGTTTCTCCCACCGAGGCAGGGTGACCCCCAAAAAAAAAAGAAAATCCCCCAAAAAAAAAATACTTTCACCCCTCACAAACAATTTTCCCTTTTTTTCAGGGTGCTCAGAATAAAAACGTTTAGAAGCATATACATATAAAGATACACAACATATCCCTCCAAACTGCCAATATCCTGAACCCCTCCTTTAGAGTGCAGGCATTGCACTTCCCATTTCCAGGACTCAAGTCCGCTATATAAAAATAACGCTTGCTGGAAGTCCAAGCCCCTTGCACACAAAACCTCCTTTACCCCCTCCCTCCAACCCTTCCTACCCTACTACTCATCTCACCCTAGATTAAGACAAATATTTTAAGGTAAGTAATGAGTGTACTATATGTGTATTTTACTTTTTTACTGTTATTTAATGCCTAGTTCTATTGATAACTTAATATATGTTTGTGTAAACTTGTTATCTAGTATTTATATGCATTTATCAGTGGAAAAAAAGGGTGTTCCACTTTACGGCTATTTCTGCTTCATGGCGGTAGCCTGGAACCTAACCTGCCGTGTAAGTGGGGCCCCTACTGTATACCTGTTATCCAGCATGTTTAAAAGAGAAAAAAAAGACACCAACAATCCTACCATTATGTAAAACAATTGCAGGTTTCCGTTTCACACTCCAACCCCTCTGAAAATGGTAGTACATACCTCTTTGGGTGGCTGCTGTTTACCAACCTATTACCTAGGACAATGCAGATACAGTACAGTAAATCATTTATCTCTTGACGCTTATCTATATATTATTTACATTTTAATAACTCGTTGAAGCAATTGCACTAATTGACGAGGAAGTAAAGCTATACTTCATTTCCTGTTGAGCGGCCTATTAATATTGAATACCTGTTAAGCAGACAATATGCTAAATGTGCATGCAATTTTTAGTGATGACAAAGGTATACAGTACAGTAAAGCTCCAACTTATGATGGTACAAAGTCTCCAAAAATTTATCGTCAGCCAATGGTTTGGCACTCAGAACTTATTTTCCCACAAGAAATAATGTAAAATTAATTAGTGTATTCCTGAATCCTAACATTTTGTATCTAACTTCAGTAAATTTTTTTCTCAAATTTTTTACCTAATCTTTTACCTTCAATGTGCCTTTTTAATTGCATGTACATCAACTCGAAGGTCACAGATTTCATTTTCCATGCCATTTGGGTATCACTGCTACTACTATTCTTGCATTTCCAGAGACAAGATACATGACTTTTTCCAAGGTTGAGGCGAGAGTAAACAAAGCTCTGGTAGCTTGTTTACTTCCAACAATTAGAAAAGGAAATGTATTAGGTTCACTTCATGCATAACCTATAATGTGTATCATACACATTATATAGTACTGTACTGTAGTTACACATTCATACCTTCTATGATGGTATGTCTATCTTTATAATAAATATAAAGGTATGAAGAAAAACGTCCTCCCTCACTTCTTAATATAAACGAGGCAATTTGTTCTCTCTCTGATGCTCACTTGTAAACAATGGGTTTAAAATAGGCACACATGAGGTTACTTGCACTCTAGCACTTCTACACCTATATCTTCCTTATCACAGCCACCAACAATCAGAAGAGGTGTAGTACTAGTCCTCAGTAGGCATTTCTGGGCAATTACCATGAAATTTAAAAATAGCTAAGGCATTCTGCATGTTTTAAGAATCCTCACTTATAATACAGCCAAGCATGGGAGGAGAGGGAAAAGAGGAAAGGACAGCCATGACTGCTACACTCAGGGCTTGAAAACTACAGCATAAAACAGTAATGCCACTTCACCTCAGATTACCAGAGAATTACTGGCTAAACAGAAACAGGCAGAGAGAAATCCTCCTTTTAATCAAAAAGTTCCAGTGGCTGTGAATACCATTCAATTGCATGAACGACTGAGCAAGTTTCTCTAACCCTTTATCTCAGTGCATCTCACAAGAAAACTTAAAAAACTTATGTAAAATATACTTATATACAAATGCCTCTCTCCTCTATTTCCCTCCTCCTCCACACTCTTCTAATTTTTTTAATATACCTGCTGTATCATTCAGCAGGTATATTTCATGAAAATAAGCTTTTAACAAACTAACCTGGATAGTGAACCATACAGCAAAAGGAATGTTTGAGGTAGTCTCATCAGTGGGATACTGGCCAGGGGTAGCTGCACACTGGAGGAGGAGAGCCACAACCTGTACCACTGTCGCTTGATGCTCAGCTTGGAGTGCACACTGTAGTAGTAACCGGGAATGGCACTCAACCACTGAGGTAAAAAGACTGTACACCAATGATGCTGTGTTCTGTGGAAATAAAAAGGCAAAATAAATTCAGTACTAAATTTCCCATTGTTTAAATGCCTTTCTTATGAAAGTAACCACTGAATGAAATGTAAATAACCTTATGAGTATTAATGAGTAATATACAGCAGATCCTTTGAACAATGCATTTTTATTATATTCTTTTTTTCAACATGTCGGCCGTCTCCCACAGAGGCAGGGTGACCCAAAAAGAAAGAAAATCCCCAGAAAGAAAATAATTTCATCATCATTTAACATTTTCACCTCACTCTCACATAATCACTGTTTTTGCAAAGGTGCCCAGAATACAACAGCTTAGAAGCATATATGTATAAAGATACACAACATATCCCTCCAAACTGCCAATATCCCAAATCCCTACTTTAAAGTGCAGGCACTGTACTTCCCATTTCCAGGACTCAAGTCCGGCTATATAAAAATAACCGGTTTCCCTGAATCCCTTCACTAAATATTACCCTGCTCACACTCCAACAGCTCGTCAGGTCCCAAATACAGTGGACCCCCGGTTAACGATATTTTTTCACTCCAGAAGTATGTTCAGGTGCCAGTACTGACCGAATTTGTTCCCATAAGAAATATTGTGAAGTAGATTAGTCCATTTCAGACCCCCAAACATACACGTACAAACGCACTTACATAATTGGTCACATTCGGAGGTAATCGTTATGCGGGGGTCCACTGTACCATTCGTTTCCATTCACTCCTATCGAACATGCTAACGCACACTTGCTAGAAGTCCAAGCCCCTCGCCCACAAAACCTCCTTTACCCCTTCCTTCCAACCTTTTCGAGGACGACCCCTACCCCGCCTTCCTTCCCCTACAGATTTATACGCTCTCCATGGCATTCTACTTTGATCCATTCTCTCTAAATGACCAAACCACCTCAACAACCCCTCTTCAGCCCTCTGACTAATACTTTTATTAACTCCACACCTTCTCCTAATTTCCACACTCCGAATTTTCTGCACAATATTTACACCACACATTGGTAGGTTGGTAGACAGCAACTACCCAGAGAGGTACTACCACCCTGCCAAGTGAGTGTAAAACGAAAGCCTGTAATTGTTTTACATGATGGTAGGATTGCTGGTGTCCTTTTTTCTGTCTCATAAACGTGCAAGATTTCAGGTACGTCTTGCTACTTCTACTTACACTTAGGTCACACTACACATACATGTACAAGCATATATATACACACACCCCTCTGGATTTTCTGCTATTTTCTTTCTAGGTCTTGTTCTTGTTTATTTCCTCTTATCTCCATGGGGAAGTGGAACAGAATTCTTCCTCTGTAAGCCATGCGTGTTGTAAGAGGCGACTAAAATGCCGGGAGCATGGGGCTAGTAACGCCTTCTCCTGTATAAATTACTAAATTTAAAAAGAAAAACTTTTAGTTTTCTTTTTGGGCCACCCTGCCTTGGTGGGATACAGCCGGTTTGTTGAAAAAAAAAAAAACATTGCCCTTAGACAGGATATCTGCACTGCCTCCAACCTCATCCTTGCTGAAATTCTGTGACAAATTTGTATAGTATGCCATAAATCTTGAACAGCACAATGATAAAGTTTTAAAAAGATGGTTCAGGCATGAAAACATTTCCATTCAGGGATTTATATAGTCTGGGGGAAGCTGGTTGCTGAGTCTGGCTCAATACAGTGCATGCTGTAGTGGCCCTTAACCTTAGCAGATAACTGACTAACAGCTATTAGTTGACAAGAGAGACTCACAGTCATCTATTGCTCAGTCACAAAACCATCTCAAAACACTTCTTAATCAACAAGCATACATTTCACTATAGTACATGAAAACTGTATGAGTGGCCTATTCCTGCCAGCTTCACACAGTTTGTTAGAAGGGCAGTTGGTGGTGGAGCAACTAGTACTGGTTCCATTCTCGACTAATGCTAGTTAGTGTGTGTGTTACCCATGATGTTCTGAGAGAACCTGTTTATTCTCAGACGTTTATCAAAGGAATGAATAGATTGTAGGACACCCAAACAGTTGAACCGAGGTCAAAAATATTGGCAGGTGCATATTCAATGACACAAAAAAATTGTGTACTAGTACAATGGACACATCCTCATCACCTGCATACTAGTAGGTTGGACACTGTTTAAGGGTTAAAAAGGTACAGTGGACTCCTGGATTTCGTAGTTGTCGGATTTCGTAATATTTGGAAATATTAACGTTTTTTCATGAAAATATTGGCTCGCTGAGCTCAGTAACAGTCATTCGTCCCGAACGCGCCTGCACGGCAACAGCGGCCCAACACTCAGTGTGTCATTGTTTGTCAGCCAGTGAGCACGATCCCACGCATTCATACGATGCATTTCATATTATTCCAATCTTTTTAATGCTTACAACTGCTAAATAATCCATCATGGGCCCCAAGGAAGTTCCTCATGCCAGCCAGCCCTTTGGTAAAGGGCTGAGAGCGAGGGAAGAACATGCCTTTTTCAGTGATTCTGCAATATGTACAATACTAAAGCAGCAGGAGTCGATAAAGGCTATAGCGCCAGCCAGGGATAAAGTGTAGCATTAACAGTGCAGCAAGTAGGTTAAGTGATTAATCGATAGAAAAAGGACAGCACGAAACTGACTTCTCCAATGTTGTTGGAGTTATATATGGCGACTGACAACACCACCATCTCTGCTGCTGATATCACCACACTATGCAAGGCTTTTTTCAGTGGCTCTTCTACACCCAACAACAAAGAACACTTGACAGTTAACCCTTTCAGGGTCGCCAGGCCCTCTCCAAGACTTGTTCTCAGGGTCGCCAAATTTAAAAAAAAAAAAAAATCTTATGAAAAGATAGAGAATCTTTTCCCGACCATAATGGCACCAAAAGTATGAAATTTGATGGAAAACTTACGGAATTATGCTCTCGCAAAAGTTAGCGGTCTCGACGGTGTTTACGCATCGGCGATTTTGCCCACTTTGAGCCCTATTTTTGGCCAATTTCAATGTACTAGTCGACAAAAATCATAACTATTTTGCTAGAACTCCAATTTTTCTATCGAATGAGTACAAGAAACCACCCATTTACCGATTTCAACTACCCAATACAGTGGTCAGAATTTAGCAATTTTGCCAATTTCACACAAATTTCAAAAGATGCCAATTTCCAAATAGGGTCCAGAATAAACAAGAAAGACATTCCTGGCACTAAAATAACATTTCCTCTGTTCATTAGTCACGTCCCCACGCCCCTCTTACATTCTTCTGCTTTCCACTTTGAATTTTTATTCTCACAAAAAATAGATTTACTGTTATGCAGACTACTGCATTAGTGTAAAAATGGTATAAATAATATCGGCGCACTTGTGAAAGAATATTAGACTCCCCAGTTGACGTGTATTGGACGCTTAGCATGATTTGTTTACTTTAGAACTTTGGTAAAAATCGAACATTTCTGCTACTTTGAGCTCAATTTCAAGGTACTTTCATTGTAAAACCAGTCAAAATCATCTCAATTTCTGTAACATGTCTTCCATTCTATAAAATGAGACCAGGAAAACTAGAATACAGGTCTCCCTCAACATTCGCGAGGGTTAGGGGATCAAGAGCCTCGCGAATGTTGAAAAACCGTGAATGTTTGGTGCCCCAATATATTGTAGGGAAATATATTACAATACTGCTTCCTTAAGTTGTTGAACCATGAATAATCATAAAATACTACATGAAAACGTCATAAATTGTACTAAACATATACATGTTATGCTTTAATAATGTATGTTATTTAATAACATGTATGTTAATAACATGTATGTTATTAAATACCACAGACTCCACCAATGCCTCCACCACTGCGAGTCCCTACTACCCTCCCTCCGACCCCCGCAACTGGCAGCCAGCCCTCCCACCACTCAGTGTGGTGAGTGTTTTGTTTGTTCATTATTTGCTATTAAACTACAGAATAAATAATGTAAACCCATTCTTGACTGCATATTGGAATGGCTATTAGGAAAGGTATTAGACGGTGACATCATGTGTTTACTCTTGAACACAGCAAAGAATCGAACATTTCTGCTATTGCTAATAATAACAATAGTAATAATAATAATAATAATAATAATAATAATAATCATAATAATAATAATAATAATAATAATGTAGTAGGCTGGTAGACAGCAACCACCCAGGGAGGTACTACCGTCCTGCCAAGTGAGTGTAAAACGAAAGCCTGAAATTGTTTTACATGATGGTAGGATTGCTGGTGTCTTTTGTCTGTCTCATAAATATGCAAGATTACAGGTACGTCTTGCTACTTCTACTTACACTTAGGTCACACTACACATATATGTACACGTTTATTTATACACACTCATCTGAGTTTTCTTTGATTTTATCTTAATAGTTCTTGGTCTTATTACTTTTCCTTTTATATCCATGGGGAAGTGGAATAAGAATCTTTCCTCCGTAAGCCATGCGTGTTGTAAAAGTCAACTAAAATTCCGGGAACAATGGGCTAGTAACCCCTTTCCCTGCAAAGATTACTAAGAAGAATAAGAAGAAGAAAATTGTCGAAGTGGGAAGTCTGAATGTGCGTGGAAGTTGTGCAAATGATAAGAAAGAGATGATTGTGGATGTTATGAATGAGAAGAAACTGGATGTCCTGGCTTTAAGTGAAACAAAGCTGAAGGGGGTGGGAGAGCTTCAATGGAGAGGAATAAATGGGATTAGGTCAGGGGTTTCAAATAGAGTTAGAGCTAAAGAAGGAGTAGCAATAATGTTGAAGGATAAGCTATGGCAGGAAAAGAGGGACTACAAATGTATAAATTCAAGGATTATGAGGAGTAAAATAAAGATTGGATGTGAAAAGTGGGTTATAGTAAGCGTGTATGCACCTGGAGAAGAGAGAAGTGTAGAGGAGAGAGAGAGATTCTGGGAAATGATGAGTGAATGCGTGGGGAGTTTTGAATCAAGTGTGAGAGTAATGGTGGTTGGGGATTTCAATGCTAAAGTGGGTAAAAATGTTATG